TATATATATATATATATATATATATATATATATATATATATATATATACTTAATCCTAAACTCTAAACCCTATAACCAGCCATCACAATCGTACACTTTTTTTCAATCCATTCCTATCGACCCCCTAAACTTTATTTCCCAAACACAAGCAGTCTCCACTTCACGTCTACAATGAAGTACATGGTTTTTCATATGATATCGATTTCCTTTCACATCCACACAGATTGATATTGAAATGTTTAGTATATAGTTTATCTGACGGAAATTTCGGTTTCCTTTCACATCCACACAGATTCACCAGCCATCACAACCAGACCCTTCTCTACAACCTGTTTGACATAGTACAAAGGGCCGCCGTGCCTATAGCCGTTGTAGGCATCACCACACGAGACGACATCTATGACATGTTTGAGAAGCGAGTCCGTTCCCGCTTTTCGCACCGCTTTATACACGTCTACAACACGCTCACGTTTGAGCAGGTAGGTGACATCCAACGGATGTTGTATTTCTCTTATAGTCCGTATACGTAACTATTATTAATATGCTTATGTATCAATGCGGTTATATTTTTACTTGGGTGTGATATATAGTTACATGCACATATGCAGGTATCCAATGTGCCTACCTATGTTTCGAGTATGGAAATCTCCATGGGTGTGGAAAGCTTAGCACTGGCTTGCATCTACCATTAGATATATTAGACATATGTTTAACCCACCGCTGGTAACACCGCCGCCAGTCAAAAGTCCAGCAATTGACAGACAGCTCCACGTCACGGGTGAGCCGTTGCTATGGCAATGACATCGGCGGGACTACTACAGATCCCGTATTCAATACGCATGATCACGGGTATATTATAGATACAAAACCTAATACCTGTGTGCTTGTGCACATATCTCGGGTACTGTACACCTGAGATACCACACCCGTTGCCTGGTACAAACACTCTACTCTCTCTTTGGGCTTGGCTGCAGTATTCGCAAACGGCCCACAACCTGCTGACTGTTCCAGAGGATGTTGCAACCTCCAGTGTGGCCATGAAGAGTGTGTGCAAGGAGTGGGACGCACACACTACGGTATGTGGTGGTGGTACAGACGTTTAAAAAGTGTGTACCAGACTATGTTATAGGTTTACCATATATACACCATGTATGTAGGTGTGCATATGTGTGTCCGAACTATTGAGACAATGGTGTACCTACTTGTTGCAGACCATTGTAGCAGATACTGACATGTGAGTGTAAACCTCTTTACCACACACACACCCTCACACCAGTGCTATATGTGTTGTATGTACTCATACCTCTGTTGCGCCCGCACCCTCACACCAGTGCTATATGTGTTGTATGTACTCATACCTCTGTTGCGCCCACACCCACACACCCACACACAGGCGCTATGTGCCTCGCCTAAGGCTCTCACAGCGCTGCGCAACCAGTATGAATTAGACGCCAGCATACGTTCACTGCAACTGTTTCTGTTGCCGTTGGTTAGTCGACTCAGCGTCAACTACAACGGCACCGTCAACACGCGTAGTGTGTCGGCCGAGGCCTTCTTTGCGCGTGTCACGGAGTTGCGGAAAGACGAGAAGATTGTGATTCTGAAAGGTGAGGATAAGAACATTAAGGCTGAAAGAAGAAAAAGACGAAGGGAGGGGGGGGGGTGTTTATGAGCGAAAATGTTTTTTCGTTTCTTTTCTGAAAGGTGGATACAAGACAATTGAGGCTGAATGAAGAAGAAAAAGTGTGTTGGGAGGGGGAGTTGTAAATGAGCATATGTGATAGAAAATAAGATGTTTACTTTTACTAGCATCGTGCATTGTGGCTCTAACGATAAGCTGTGTAATGCTATTACGTCTCATGGACACATCATCCGCGTGCGTGCGCTTACTTAAAGACCCAACCGTCGACCCATATGGCCCTGTGCTCGTTTTTTTTTTGTATGCTTGCGTGTTTGTGTGTTTGCGTGTGTGTTTGGAGTTACCCTCTGGTACTAGCAGTAGATTTTTGTTTATGGTCTGCTACCGGGTGTTGTCATTGTGTGTGTGGTTCAGGATTTAGGGTTTAGGGTTTAAGTCATGTATAAGGATGCTAACTACTCGTGCCATACTCGTCGTGATTCATCTGCCTTACCCGAAATGGTTACCGTCTGAGTGTATAACGTATTATGTATATACATATGTACGTGTATATGTATATGTGTATGTATATGTATATTTTATATATCTGTATGTATACGTATGTATATGTTTGTACACAATACTATTCGTATACTAAACACCCTATTAACCTCCGTGTGTACCCACTATAGGTCTGACGTCGTTAGAGCTTGCGTTGCTGATCGCACTCGTCTGTTTGGGGTCGAAGCACGGAATAGAGGTATGTCACGTGCCATGTGTGAGGGGTTGGCGTGGAATTTTAAATGACAATTAGCATTCGGGACAACCTTGCAATCTGGTTTGCACCTGTGACTGAGCATGCAGAATGGATTCCTTGTGTGTATTGTGATCCGCCATGATCTTTTAGTGTTTTGGGATTTATAAAATCCAGCGCGTTGTGCGTGTACCCGATATGTTCACGAAATCAATGCACACGCAGATATATAATACCCTAAACAGAGTTCCTCTGTCAACGAGTTCGCAACTGGTCGTACAATTGGTGATACTATCTGTGCGTACGAGTGACCAGGCCTACGTATGAGTATGTAGTTATACGTTCGTCATAGAGTGAATCACTCTCCCTGTTCTGTATCCTGTGCCGACCTGTTGGTCTAGGGTTTTTAGGGCTTTATTCACACCACCAAGGAAAGTGGGAGAGTATCCTAGTACAGTACGCCATACCAAACCCTGCACCCAACAGGGCAGTACAACACCCGATACATACATCCTGGTTATATATATATCTCGTCTTACCACCAACTGCAGACATTCAACTTCGAAATGGCCTACAACGAATACAAAGAGTTCTGTATCGGCAAGACAACCAAGGCCACGGGGACTATCCCGCTGTTCAGCAAACCTGTGGCTATGAAGGTAATCGGATATAATGCACGCGGCTAGCCACTCTTAGTCGTCCCGGCACTGTAGTAAATGGGAAATAGTAGCTAGATATCACACACGAGGGTGTCTGAATATACTAGTGAAGGGATGGTTGTCGTAATCCTCACATCGAGACGATTCTCATACTTTCAAGACAGCTTTTATATACAAACGGTAGTACTTATAGTAAACTACACGACACACTACGCCCCCGCACGCCTTCTGTCGTTAACTCTGTGCTTATTCTTGTACCATCTCCACACATATGTGCTAACGCGTACACCTACCTCGCAACCTATTGCTTTCATAATGCACTGTCAGGCTTGGGAACGGCTGGTGCAGCTTGAAATGGTGGTGACCGCGCCGGGCAATACAAAGACTGTGACGAAACGCCACAAAACACACTACATCACTATATCGCCTGCATTGTTAAACATAGCACTACAGCAGCACATCGACTGTCCCACGGCTCTGGTGAGGTGGGCTACGGCTGGGATAGCGTCTAGCTATGCGTATGAGGTGTAGCATAGGCCTTGATTGGGCGAGGGCAAGGCATCTGGTGGTGCGTCTAAGGTATAGATACCATGCACCTCCACCTCATTGCGAGCTTACTGTTTGCATCTCATTTACGAGCTTACTGTTTGAATGGGTATGGACGTTAGTATGTTGGCGGAAACCATGTGCGCTACAAGTCGTTGTGTAGGCTCCGCTTGCAAGTGGTTTCTGTTTATCCAGAACTGCGACGGTTGCACTTCAGTGCTGGCCACCTTATGCGAAATCTAAATTTAGTATATAATAAAGAAAATGACAAGGACTATTCGAAAAAACCAATAAAGACGAATAAAAAGAAGTACACGCAAAAAGAACTGGCGGGACTCTTTACACGGAAGCATAACAAATGCATATACATGCATA